CAGTGTTCGTGAAGAGTCGGAGTAAAAGCCGCTCCTCCGCTTTATTTAGGCCTTTGCATGGGGGTGGATGAAGGCTGTGATCGAATTGGTAGTAGTCCACAATTTCGCGGAACGAATACACCGGATTGAATTGAAGGTCGTCTTGATCGGGGGAGGTGAGTGGGAATGCCCGGGGAAAGAGCGCGCGGGCGGCGGCGTCGGCTGCCTCATTCCCTTCGAGTCCCATGTGAGCAGGAGCCCAGACTACACGGCGGGATGCAGGTATTCCCCAATAGTCCGAACGTTGCAATAAGCGGTAGGCCAGGTATGCGACACGGCCGTTCACGACGTTTTGACAGGCCCCTCGAGAGTCGGAGATTATCATTGAGAATATGAGACTAAGGGGAACGTGAAAACCCAGACGTCCAAATATACTAATGGCAACAAATGTAAACTTCGCAATAAAAGAAGTACTCTGAGATAAAGGAACCTCCCGATTCTTAGAAGTCCGATCAGGATGTCTGAGAACAAAGAGCCAATACCCGGGAATCAGCTGATTGAGCCCATTCGCGCGTACCTAGATGTCTAAACGGGCGAAGACAATAGGACGTACTTACCGAGAGCCCTATAATTTCCGACAAGGGAGTACGAAGGCAATTAACTTGCTCGAGATTTGCAGCTTTCAGATGAAAGTTTCTGGCAAATATATCTTATATAGTAGACGTGCTTGTTTATTCGCATTTGGTCATTAAAGTTATTAAAAAGTAATTATTGGGATTTAACGTCTAGAAACAACGATGTGATCACAAGAGACGCCATTAGTGAAGGACTCCCGAAACTTGGACGACCCGGGTTTTTTAACGTGTGCCCAAAATAAGAGTACACGGGCAGAGGCGCAGCCAGAAATTGCTTTTTTTCCCCCTTGATTGCGGGAAGGGAGACAGGATAGATGCATACTTTATTTATGTTCGGCCATACGCTTTTGTGTGCATGTACATATATCTACGCAAAATTGAAAAAAAAAAACATGAGGTAGGAGGAGGTGAACCCCCAATCAATGAAGACGCGAGAGTTCTGCCTTCACTATTTGCGAAAAAAAACCATTTTCTGCAAAATATATCGCTATTTTTTTTTTTCAATAAAACAGCATTCGCCGCCAAAAAGGGAGTTCTGTGCAAAAAAGAGTTCAGCAAAAACGTCGGTGGTTTGAATCACGGTGCCGGTATAGTGTGAAAAGAAAAGAATGCCATAAGGCCATCGGGGTAAGGAAGCTGGAACGCTGACGTTCATTCTTTATTTTTAATTATGATCAGCAGTAGTGAGCAGACCAAGTTCTAAACATTGCATCATTTACTGTGCTGGTAGCCGAGTGCGTATGGTGTTCAGTTTACAACCACCGTAGGTTGGTGGCTCGAATGACAGGATCGCTGCAGCACCTGGAAGTCATCCAGACATCTTTCTGCCAGAACTCAAATTTGCATGCTGTCACATAATTCAGAAAACCGGATAGAAGTAATTTGGTTATTAACATTGTGATGGTCGTTTTTTTTTCTTGTAATAACAAGTTTGTTTTTACAAAAATAGGGGGCATGCACTTCAGCGGAATGGCACCGTAAAACCTGGGGTCCCATGCCACCAAGGTAGCATCCATCAATGTGTGACAAAACTTAGAAAAAATTTTGAAGGCTCTAAAGAGTTGATTTGAAATAAGCTCGACAGAAGTGTTCGTAAACACGCACACACATAAATTCTCTGTCTCACTTTCTCTATTTCTCTCTATTTCTCTCTATTTCTCTCTCTTTTTCTCTCTCTGGCTGTCTGTCTGTCTCTCTGTCTCTCTCTGTCTGTCTCTCCGTCCGTCCGTCTCTCTGTCTGTCTTTGTCTGTTTGTGTCTGTCCGTCTGTCTGTGTCCGTCCGTCCGTCCGTCTGTCTGTGTCTGTCCGTCCGTCCATCCGTCCGTCCGTCTATTTGTCCGTCTGCGTGTGCGTGCGTGTTTCGAAAAGCCTCGAGGCTGTAGTAGATCGTTTTGTTGAGATTACGCCCACCTCCTGAAAATTACAGATTAGTCTGGATCCTATACGTCGCCGATAGCGATAACGCGAGAACATTCGATGGCAAGTGTATAAATGCCGACGCGCTTCACCGCTTGTCAGTAGTTGATCGATGGCCGACGCTCTGCTCGCCGCTATCAGTTCCAGCGTCTTGCTGCAATCTCATTTACGTGGCCGCAAGTTAGGCCCAAATAAACAGTTTATTATCCAACCTGCAGTCTCAGTCTGCTCTTGTCGTCCACGTCACAACTCAGTGTCAATATATATATATACATATATATATACATATATACATATATATATACATATATACATATATATATACATATATACATTATATATATATATATATATATATATATATATATATATATCCGGTTGTTCAAACAAAACAACGAGGACAGCCACCACAGCATTAATTCATCATCTAGCCTCTTTCAACTTTGCGCTGTTCCTCCAAATTGCGACAACCTTCCGAAATTTGTTTCCGTCTACGTGTGTGATTGAAAGGAAAAATTTTATTTGACCGCATCAATAGAGAAATCTTCATTACAATGCCCTTTTTTTTCTGTCTTCATACGCCCTTCTTGAGAAGCCCGCATGGTTTCTCCAGATACCGAACTCGATAAGAAAAGCTTTCATTGAAACAGCGTGTCGGCACTAGTGCAAATACTGACTCCCTTATCACCAATCACCTTCAGCTGAACGTTCACTTCGAACTGTAAAAAAAAGTAAGAAACAAAAGTGATTAAAAATGAGACACGGCGGTGGACTTTAATAAACGACGCCACTAGCGAAAATACTGCTTCACACGAAAGATAACGCAGCGTTACTTATACGACATACGAGGCACGACTTACTAGTTTCACGCATTTATAAAAAGAAACGTGAAAAATAAAACATATTGCTATGACAGATAAGATTACCTGCATGCACAATGTGTATTTAAATAATAATATAATTAATTAACCTATTACTGTGGAAATGAACTTCATGTCGGGTGGAACGAAACCGAGCGCGAAAAGACATTAATCAATACGTAAAAAAACGATAGAATTACAACATAACAAATATAATTTTTAGAACGCAGTACAAGTCCAGGCATTAAATCCGCAACAAAAATATTTCTAAGGCACTTTGCGCCATCGACTAAAAAGCCCGGATAGCGCAATGAACATAACACCCCCTTATCTGTGACTCAGCCACAGTTACCTCTATCTTATACCTATGATTACGAATGCGCGTTGCTACTTCCAATTCAGCAGATGGTGTGATAAGAGACGTATCATTCGACATATTTAATGAAGGCAGCCTTGTCTTTTGTTAATGTTTTTTATCGCCCGATAACAAGTGTCCTTCCGAAATGAAGTTTATCGGCAACAATACAGTAACACTCGTATAAGGTTCCCCTGCAGATAACAATAGCATACAAATGCACATTCACGCAAGTTCCCAGTCTGTACAAGGTGGTGATTTCGGTCTCGGTCGTAACGTGTTTTCACTTTAGCTGTGCAAACATGGCCATGTGAGATAACAGCAACTACACAAAAAGCATAAAATGAACCTGCTCGTGCTTCACTACTCAGTTCACGTGGCGTTTTAGGTATCTTTGCCTATCGCTTGTTAAATCAATACTCCATATAGGTACAGTTATTATCTCTGTCATTTTTATCTAGTACCAACAGGAAGATAAAATTTGTCTCGTGTTTGAGAGTGGCATGATGTTATCAAAGACGTCACCCGGTTTTTACAATTAGCCGTATCCTGCTGTCCCACATGAACAACAGAATCTTGTTTATACAAATTTACGCAAATAAGCAGGTAGCAAAGCATTTTGTTGTTTTTTATTTGTTTACTTTTTTCTATAAAATGGCAGGTAGCCAAATTTACCCACATTAATGGGTAATACGACGGGAATGAGGTTATCTAAAAAAAGCCTGAGATAAGTAGGATAGATTAAATCATTTACAGCCTTTTTATTTAACACTGCTGACATTTATTTTTTTGCCATGTGACTGCTTCTCTATTAGTAAAAGCTTAAAATCCAACTTTATTGCTATAACTATACTCGCTTGTGTGCGCGGAAATATAACGCCGGTCTATTTACACACTCCTAAATTTTTACTGATGGATAAATGCATGGATTAACGCAAAATGTGTAGATGCGAACCAACGTCTCCTAGAAAAATTATGTGCCCCGCCGCGGTGGTCTAGTGGCTAAGGTACTCGGCTGCTGACCCACAGGTCGCGGGTTCGAATCCCGGCTGCGGCGGCTGCATTTCCGATGGAAGCGGAAATGTTGTAGGCCCATGTGCTCAGATTTGGGTGCACGTTAAAGAACCCCAGGTGGTCGAAATTTCCGGAGCCCTCTACTACGGCGTCTCTCATAATCATATGGTGGTTTTGGGACGTTAAACCCCACATATCAATCAATTAGAAAAATTATGCCTGGAACGTGAGCCGCGAACGCGCCGCCCTATTCTCGGATTTTACCCTCACCCTCCGGCACGGAGGTGAACGACTGTGGCGGTCGCCCCCTGCGAACACAGCAATGCTCTCACAGCTGCCTCCGAGCAGCTGTGATGTCACGTGACAGAGCGGTACGGTAATGTCACGTGACAGAGCGGTACGGAGGCGAGCGGTCCCACGCGGCGGACGGTCGCAACACGCGGTAGGGAGCATCCACGGCCTCCAAGATGTTGTGCTGGCAGCAAGCTCTCAATTGAAGACAGATCCACGCTCCAGGCATAGTTTGTCTAGGAGGCATTGTGAGAGCCCATCAGAAACATCACTAATTTTTAAATGCACACATCCTGTAGCATCTTTCTGCGCGTCTGTTCTATAGAGAGAGAGGACGCGCAGCTTCACGTAGAATCAGAAAGTCACGCGCTGACGCGTACTGGTGGTCAGGCTTTGAAGCTTTCACCACAAAGCAAACAGACGAAAAAAAAGGACATGCGAAGTGTTTACCTGTGGGGCATAGAAAGGCACGTGCACAGTCATGGTGCCGTTGTACGTGCGTCCCTTGACCACGGGGCAGTGGTAGACGACCTTGCACATGTCGCGTTCCATACCCGGCACAAGGAACGCCACACCAAATATCCTCATGGTCGGCTCCAGCCGAAGCCAGTCGCTGTCCTGATCTGCGAAGCATGGAAGTAAGTGCTCCCACGAGGTTTTTTTTTTTTTTTTTTTTTACAGAGACGACAAGTATGAAATGAACATCTACCCGCAACTCTTTTTTCAATCTCTTTCATCCAGGGTATAGTAAACCAGCCACTCCCAAAGGGTTACCATCACTGCCTTTCCACTCCTTTTTGTTTTTTTACTTTCTTTTTTAATAAAATTGTTTTCTCATCCAACCGCGCAAAAATTCTGCTACGTCGAGTATGCGAAATCAACTACATTATTGTCAACTGAACTAAGCTTATAATTGTGCATAGTGTTTTTCAGACCTCGTATCAATGATCCTCGGTTATTTGATTACTGGATCTCTCTCCATAAAGGCATTAGTGCGATGTTTATGTTAACGACGCCATATTGGAGTCCCATTTTTAAGCTTGCGCAATGCTAAAGTGCACTGGTCTAGTAAACTCTGGCAATGCTACCCAGGTATGCGTACGTTCACACTTGATAGGCCACCGGAGGCACGGGCTCCACCCCATCCACCCTCTGCAAGTGAATAAAAAGGCAAAGGGAGGGTGGAGGCATAGTTGCATTTAAGCTTGTATTTATAAGGCAGTAGATGGGAACTCGTTTACGTTTGCTGAAAGCCTTGTAAAAACAAAATATAGTGGCTGCGGTGCTCGACCACTGACCAGCACGTGGCGTTTTCGATGGAGTCGAGAACACTAGAGACCCGTGTGCCTATGGTATAGGTGCGCGTTAAAGGGGCCCTGAAATAAGTTTTTGAGTAATTGTGAAATTTTTTCACTGGAAGAGCTTATTGCCTCAATTCAACGCCGCGAAGATTTTAAGAATACGTCCCGTACGAGCGCAGTTACAAAGATTTGTTACACGCTGCAATCGCATTATCTCTTTCTTCATCCCGACGAAAGCACTGGAAGCTGAGCATCGAGGGATGGGAGGGGGCAAACAAAAAACGTCACGTGCGCCTCGTGACCTTGAGCACTTTGTCTTTTTTTTTCTTTTCTTCTTCGAATGGGCGGCTTTTTCAGTGTGATCGAATGCGCACGCGTGGACAAGTCGTAGCCTCCCACGGCGATCACTGTAACGACCGAGCACGCCATGTTCAAATCAGCCAATGGCTGGTAAATGGGCTTACCACGAGTGATGTTTGAGCATTTTTCGTTATTGTCAAGGAAAGAAAAAGCAATTTTTAGCTGACTTTGATAATTTATTGAAATTCTCAGTGACTTCCCCTGCGGCATCTCTTATAATCGTATTGTTACGAAGAAGTGGAAACCGAGAGAAGCCGGAGAACAAGAGAACGACAAAGCTGCTTCGGCGATCACCACGGTCTTTCGTGCCGCCGCTTACAATAAACTCCCCTTTTAACCTTTTCCTGTGCGCGTAACAGACTGGTGGGTGTGTGGTGTATGACAAACCCGACGACGGAAGCACTAATACCAGGTAGTATGGCAGGAAACCCAGCGGTGTCACATTCGAAACACCGAAGCTCTGGTCCTTAGATATCTCGTGGTATTGTGACGGTAAACCCCATCAATTATTATTATTATCAACCTCAAAAAAAAAAAACTGCAGGTACCAGCAGACTAAAGTGTGTGGCCCTATGGTACCTTTTTATAGCAATGCAACTGCAGTAAATATGCAAGAAAGCAACGTTTCACAAAGAATAACCATGCAGTGTTTTCAAGGTATCTTTTTGCTTGTTATTTTTTATTTTAAGACGGGTGTAAGAGCCGTAATAATCGGGAGAGGGGGCATTTCAGACATAGATAGCTCCCCATAATGTAGGTTGCATCGTGAACGCCTACGGCTGACTACGGCAAAATATACACGCAGCATCACTTAAGAGACATACAGGGTGAGATGTGTGTGGCGTATTTCCAGAACAGCTGGTCACACGCAGCAACTTACCTGCAATTATGGAGAAATGAATCTTCGTATCTTTACCTCGCAAGAACACGCAAGGGTGCGTTTCGCACGGCTCAATGTTCATCGACAGGATCTTCGCTTCGCTACCTGCGCCAAAGCAAACACCATATACAGAGTTTTGTACCCATGTTACATAGGCAAGTTAAACGCAGTTACGACCAACCATGCTTGACCACGTTGAACCGCGGTTAGTGCCAACCATGGTCCCCCGATATTACACAGCGCAAAAGGGTCCGTGGTTAAAGGGGCCCTGCAACACTTTTGAGCATGGTCAGAAAACGATGCCGATCAGTTGTAGAGGCTCCCGACAACACGGGTGCCAAATGTTATAGCGCAGCACGCGGCCTGGAATTCACAATAAATGATCAAAGTCAGCTAAAAATTGGTTTCTGTTCTGTCGACAAATGACAGAAGACGCTCGAAAATCACAGGTGGCAAGCCCATCTATAAGTCATTGGCTGGTTTGAAATGGCGCACTTACTCGTTACAGTGATCGCCGCGGGAGGCCGCGACTTGTACACGCGTGCGCGCACGATCACACTGAAAAGGCCGCGCATTCAAAGAAAAAGAAAGGGAGGAAAATGCGAACGTAGTTTCTTCGCACTTGTCATGCCTCCCTGCTTAGCTTCAAGTGCTTTCGTCGGGTCGAGAGAATTCAATTGCAGCTTGCGACAAATTTTGCAACTCCACCCGCACTGGACGGATTCTTAAAAATTTTGCGGCATTGAATTCGCAAGGCAATAAGCTCTTCAAGTGAATTGATTTCATGGTTGCTTGAAAGCGTGTCTCATGGCCCCATTAAGGTGTATAACGCCACCTCCAAGGGCACCACCACTTCCTCGGTTACATTTCTAGTACACTCTACCTCGGTTAACTGCCTAACCGATGTTGAAGAACTCAGCTTCCTACAACCGCGGTTAGCGACACAACAACGATTTCGCGTACTGTGTAAGCGAAACGCGGTTACATGCAACTACGGTTTAGTCTGCCTGTGTAACAAGGGTATTGGAATATTTTAGGTAAATGTCAACGTTTGATGCCGTCTCGCATGCGTCATACACTATCCTGTAGGGCTTGCAGCTATATTTCAGGAATGGTGCACGTTGAACTCTTCCTCTAAAGCTATACGAACCCCACTCTAAAACTGCCTTGCAACCTGTACCATCCGTACTAATTTAGGCCATAAAGTGTCGCGTTGATGAGCTTGATTGATATGTGGAGTTTAACGTCCCAAAACCACCATATGATTATGAGAGACGCCGTAGTGGAGGTCTCCAGACATTTTGACCACCTGGGGTTCTTTAACGTGCGCCCAAATCGCGTTGATGAGCTTGACGGCGCGGGATCAAGGGCATAGGCAGGGGGTGGCACATTAGGCCCTCACCCGACCACGATTTTTTTTATGCGAATGCATTTCTTAGTCGGGCTATGTCAGGCACCTGCCGTTGTCCGGGGCGGTGTCCGCGTGCGGGCAGGTGTTATCTCTTCGCTTTCACAACCTCTCCCAAAGCAATAGGTGTGGTCGCGCGCGCTTATCCTCTCCTCTAGCAACCGGAGCTTGTGGTAGTGGTTGTAAGGAAGAGGAAAAAGACACCTAATTTCTGTCTGCCTTCAGGCGACACGGCCCAGTGCCTTATAAGGGTGGGGGGAAGGAGGGATAAAAAGAATAGAAGGCAAATAGATGAAGAAATAGACAGGCAAGCGGCGGAAAAAAGAAGGAGATAGGAAAGTGGGGATCCGGTCGAAGCAGTCCAAGGGCGGAGCACCACAAAGCGAGAGCTGCACGGCGTCAGTAGACCGCGGAGGGCGAACCAGTCGGCGGGAGCTACGCTGGCGTCGGAGATCGCGAGGGCACAACCGTCCAGCTTGAAATCCTGCGAGCGAATCCATGTGGTGCGAGAGGGGGATGGTGCAGTGCTTCGCCGCTGCTTCTCTCACTGTTCGCTCTCTTTCCTACCTGCCCCCCACTCTCCCGTCCCCTCGAGCCTCACCCATGACCATTCGCTGGCTGGGCGCCTATCAAGAACATCCGGAAATGTGCGCTTGAGACGCTCTGTGAAACGCCAACACCGAGCCGCGAAAGCTGGCGCCCACTTCCTCGTCCTCTCACTTCTCACTTCATTGATTGATTGATTTGTAGGGTTTAACGTCCCAAAACCACTATATGACTATGAGAGACGCCGTAGTGGAGGGCCCCTGAAATTTCGACCACCTGGGGTTGTTTTACGTGCACCCACATCTGAGCTCACGGGCCTATATTTCCGCCTCCATCGGAAATGCAGCCGCTGCAGCTGGGATTCGGACCCGCGACCTGCGGGTCAGCAGCCGAGTACCTTAGCCACTAGACCACCGCGGCGGGGCCGCTGTCAACCGTTCACCAGCTGCGCGTCTCTCAAGGCGATGGCAGAAGTCGGTGAAGGCGAATGTCAGACGACAACGGTGGCCTTTCTCGGCGCAAGAAATGCATTCGCATTTGTTCACGATTCCCTTCGGTGAAGTGGGGGCGCCAGGACGTAGAGTGAAAAATGATCATTTCAAGGGGGTGCCCTCCACGAAATGAAGGAAAAAAATCTGTCAATTTTTCGGTCACGCAAAGATGATAATTTTTCACTCACAACCACCGAAGCCAGAATTTCAGCGAAACGAACTATTTAACGCTATCACTTTAATAAGTTCGCCGCTGACGCCCTGGCCATGTGCAGTCAACGGGTCGGTGTGAACCCCGCGCTGCGGAAAAGGAAGGGTTTGGTAACCACCACATAACGATATTGTGGTTTTGAAATTCTATGCAATAAATAAAACGGCCGAAGTATATTGCTCGCGATTGTGCGCATTGCCAGTGACAAAAGTACGCGTTCGCATACGGCGTTATTTCAAGATGTTGCGCTGACATATCACTTTTTATTAAGAATGAATAAATAATCAAGTTATTCACACGCTGCAGGGCGCACCTTCAGGTCGCACTATATTGGCACCTCGTACATGGCGACTGTTCACGCACTCAAATGTTAAAAGCAAATATTACAGATCCTTTAGAACTCTGGGTGCTCGAACGAAGCATAACGTGACAGAAACATCAGTGCTAATACTGCTCGATACCGTGAGGGTGACATACATGTCACGAAGCATATGACGCGAATGAACACTTATTTTCAAGTCAACGGAATATTCAGAGCCACAACACAGATGGACCCACTCAAAAGGATTTGCAGCGTTTCCATTTGACAAGACGTATTCCGAACCATAGCGCTTACCGCAGTCCTCGAACTTGTAGTTGCCGGTCAGAGCTCGGGCCAAGCCGAAGACGAGACTCAATGCCACGGTCCAGATCATGACCGACGTAGGCTCGCGAAACGAAAGCTCTCGATGTTCGTCTTCCTCCCTTGCCTTACAAAATAAGACCCGGAAGGGCCCCAGGCTTGTGCGCGTTACAGATGTAAGAAGATCACGTTGAATGATCTCGCTATATCGAAATGAACGACCGTTTCGAAAGCGATTCGCACGGCAGCACGAGGCACCGAATGCACGATTATCGTTTCATGTATCTACAGCTATGTATCCAACCCCTGCACCCTGTAGGCTCAATGCAGTGGCGACCAACACGTAGCAAGAAGCTGATTAGGACGTCCTCATTTTTATTGATACGATAATCTAAAGTATTTGATTCCGCGTCACATATATCTTTGTGACGAAACCCGAGCACAGCGCATGCGACGTCGACCATCTGAAGAAAGTCGGCGTTTACGCGGAAAAGGATGAAAGAGGCTGTGCTGCAGACACCATTCATCGTAAGCGTGGTTAATACAGAGACAACAGAAGCAAGGGCGCCGGATAAGACCAGATGATTCTATTCCTGCGTGAAATCAACGCGTGTCAATGCGTCTGTATAATAACTGTGCTGTAGCGTTGCATTTTTGGCATTATCGAGTCAGCTAGCATCCGATGTCTGTTATTTACAGAGATTAGGCACGTATCAAGGAAAAAAAATAAACCCCAAACTTTCTGTCATTCTATGTTTTGCTCACCAGACAGCCATTGTTTCATTTATTTCGGTTATCGCCCAACTATGAATTGAGCAGATAGTTAAACAACCCCAGGTGGTCGAAATTTCCGGAGCCCTCCACTACGGCGTCTCTCATAATCATATGGTGGTTTTGGGACGTTAAACCCCACATATCAATCAATCAATCGAATTGAGCAGATATCTTACAGAAAGCTTGTTGTTCAGGATACGCGATTTGCAATCTACTCACATGCACGGACGTATTCAAATTGATTGATTGATATGTGCGATTTAACGTCCCAGTACCACCATATGATTATTAGAGACGTTGTAGTGGAGGGCTCCGGAAATTTCGACCACCTGGGGCTCTTTAACGTGCACCCAAATCCGAGCGCACGGGCCTACAACATTTCCGCCTCCATCGGAAATGCAACCGCCGCAGACGGGATTCGATCCCGCGACGGACGTAGAGGGCAGTGGCGTAGCCAGTGGGGGGGGAGAGGGGGAGGCATGGACCCGGTGTATCCCCCCCCCCGTCCGACATGTTTATGGGCGAAGCAAGTTAGGGTCGCGCCTTGTCCCTTCGATATCCGTTGTCCTGGCTTGCGGTGCGCCGGCCGCGAGCGCGCCGATCGTAGGTAAAAGAGGATAACGATGATCATGGGTGCCCTCGTGGCAGGCTGTTTCTTTCGCTGCGGCGCCCCAAGAGCTATAAGACGCGCCCGCTCCCGGCTCTCTATCTCTCGTGGTCATGGAGTGCACTTCGATAAGAAAGAAAGAGAGAGAATGCACGGGGTTTAATGATTCCCCGGAGCTTCACCCACTCACCTTCATTCGCTTCGTGGATATGCTGCGATTTGTGTTTTCTTTTCCTTTTTGCCATGACAGACAGCGCAGAATGACCACTTGCCCCCCCTCCCGCGAAAAAAATAGTTCTGCCTACGCCCCTGGTTTGCTGTGTCGTGCTTTTCGCTGACGTCTTCGACAGTAAAGTGCGGCCGAAATGGAATGCACTTACTGAGTCATTGCACTTTTTTGTGTGTTTGTTTTGTTCGCATCTGTATGATTGTCTGTCTTTTTTTTTAATACTGAGCTGTCCTATCAAAATCTGAGCTCAACTGAGTTAACATTTGCAGGTGAAGCCCCATCAGGTGCTTACCACGTGGCCTTTGCGCTCAGGCAAAGACAGCTGAACTATTCGTCACGACGCTTCATCGAAACCTTCAGAACATGACTACAACGACTGCGAATAACGCACGGAAGAGAATAAAATTTTGCCAGCTTTGAGTTCTCACGCGTTTTACACTTCAATTTTGGCCATGGCTGCAACCAAACACGGCGCAATCAAACAATCGTATGGCAGCGGCAAAACAATTGCTTCATATCACGCTGCAGGACACACAGCGGACATGGCCCTAGTGCCACAGAAGAACAGGAAGCAGTGCCTTCCCACCATGCCATGCGGGAACTCTCTGGTCCCAAAGCGCAGTGTAGCGTGAGAGTAAATACCACCTGCAGCGACACAGGCAACACTTGATGCTCACTTTCCACTATTGCGTCCTGGAGCTTGTTATCCGATATGGGCAACCTGTCCTTAATAATAACGCAGCTACAGATACAATCAAAATTAATTACTAAACACCCAACCCCAAAAAGGCGCTAATCACCCACTACTAGTGCCTTTGACGATATAGAAGAGTTCCCGAGAGCCGCCGCTGCAGCAAGTTTTCCGCCATGACGTCACAGAAACTAGCGAACGTTACTAATTTGCGCATTATCACTGATCCCGTTTATTTTGAAAGCACGTGTCTACCTGTTCATTCTTTCCATTAAGTCATAAGTGACTACGGCACCTTGTGAGAGATGTAAATAAGCAGTTGCGCGCAAATCCTAGCAGAACAGAAAAAGAAGTGAGTCAGGTTAAACCTTTTGTGTTCGGCTCCATTCGCTAAACATCATTCATGCGGTCGTAGCATCGAAACTTAGTTCGAGGGAATCTCCCCAACTACCGGCTGCATTTTGTTCTGAAACCTTCTCTCCTCCTTCATCTGCGCACGCACCTTCCACCAATGTCACACCGTTCACTGCATTGATGCGATTGCAAACACACACTGAAATTCGGTGAATGAGCTGTTTTAAGCAGACACAGGGGCGAAGAAATGAGTCTTATATTAAAAGCCGATATTGGCACAGTATATCGAGAGAGAGTGAGAATTTATTCGAAGGCAGAGAGGTCGGCTTGAGCTAATGCGCTCCAGCCTGCTGCTCTACACAGGAGATAAGGGAAGGGGGAAAGAAAAATGGATAGTATACCAGTTCTTATGGAAATGTATACGGGAGTAAGCTTTGTCGGTCTTGGCGAACCGCGTTCCCTTTTATCAAAAAAGTCACAGCATATCCACGGAGTGAATGACGATTAGTGTGGCGAAGCGTCCGTCAGTCCGTCCGCGCTTTCATCCATCCGTGCGTCCGGCCGTCCGTACGTGCGTCTGTCCATCCGTCCGTCTGCTTGTCAGTCGGTCCATCCGCACGTGCGTCCGTACATCTAGTAAACACTCCAAGTACCACCATCTCGAATTTTTTCATCGCGATCGTCTCTCTCCTTCCCATGTGGCACATATCCGTCTCTCGGGTACGTCAGCGGTTACACACAACGACAAGGGGGGACGCACAAGCCACGCCATAAGGAGCTTCGACCCTAAAAAAGACAGCGCACTTCAACGTGGCTTTTCTGGCTAGTTCTGTAAATGCATCGAGAAGCTTCGGGCCACGCCAACAAACATTCAATTGACACTCGTGTCTGCATTGCCCATGTCTGCCAGCGCTGGGACACCTTTTAATTAAGGGTGCGCGGTCATTCAAAACTTAGAACACCTTTGAATATTGTTTGCTATTCGATTCGCACAGAAATTTTTACTGTTCGAACTTCCCATAGACAAATACAGTCAGCGTCCGATTAAAAGCGGCCCCTTCACATTTTTAAGCTTCACCTCAATACAATACGCTCGTATTGCGGCAAAGCTACCTTTAGGGCTACGCTACGGTTGCGAATGTATTGACGCAAGAAAAAACGTGGTTTTAACATGGGCATGATGGACGTAACAGTAGTGGGTGCTAAATTATTGCTCTTTTGTACCTGAAATCTGGGCAGAAAGGCAGAAACGCTGGACGCCGCAGGTGTTCAGCATCCAAAATTTTATATGTTCTAATATATTGACGTCTACGAGACAGACTGGGATCTCTGGACTGGAAGAGAGCACACGCTTGTCCGCCGCATAGTAGCACCTTTGCCTTTCATGTGTAAAGAGAATATAATAATGTTTGAATGCGTAAAGAGAATAAGAATATGCTTAGGTGACCTCTCCAACCTCTATTCTGCAATTTCACTTTGTTGTATTAGAATATTCCAGAAATATTCGAGAAGTACTTGAAAAATATGCAATTCGATTCGCACTCACATTTGGATTCTCAAATTCGCTTCACATACAAAATTCAGCTACTTCCACAGCTCTACTTTTAATATACTTCATTCGCACTGATTGGAAACTAGTAGGCTTGCACGAACAGTGAATTTTAGGTTAGAAGCGAATAACTTTTGTCGAATAACTTCGAATCGAATTTGATTAGCATATGTCCCGTATTATACAGAATAATTGGCATATTTGTCATGAGTGTGCTCTCTCTCTCTCTCTATGTGTGTGTATATATATATATATAGTGTATATATATATATATATATATATATATATATATATATATATATATATATATATATATATATATATATATATAATATATGTGAGGTATCAAGTGATGGTTAGTAGAGGTCGAGAAGGAGGAAGTGCAGAACGGAATAAGCATGGCGTATTAGCCAGGCCACGTCTCCCATTCGTCATAGCATCACACGAGTCGACAGGATGAAGACCTCCCAGCCCCTTCATCAGTCTCTCATCATCTATGCAGTCCTCCGCATGACACCCTGAGCATACATGGACTACTGTAAAAGCGCCTAGCATTACGCATCGACCAGCATCATGTCAGAAGCATCTACTGACCTTCCTATCGCCAAGTACACCGGAGCAGCAGATGATGGACTCGTACAAGACTGGTTCGACCTGTTCGAGTTCCACGCTACCGCTGCATCTTGGTCGGAACGGGAAATGGTTACGAACTTCAGCGACTACGTCACCGGTGAGGCATTTAAATTTTACCTCACCCACATATTCGACAACGATGAGTCTTGGCAACAGATAAAACAAGAAATGATCGTTTGGTTTAAAAAATACGATGACGACTACGACGAAGACTTGCTTGTAACCCACCATCCACAGACAACTGCACTCAGTCGTCAATTTTACAGGCAGTCTTCAACCATTCGAGCGCACAACAAGATCCGACCTCTGACAAAAGACGAAGTGGCACACGAGTTCAGTGGCAGACGACAATGCGTATTTTGGGAAAAACACAGCCATCGAGCGCGCCTCCCTTCTGCACGAAAGTCGGCATTTGCGAAGTCATCGCTTCAGCATATGACCCGAGAGGTTGCCCAACCACCTGATGCCGTTCATTCTTCGTCTCGCATACGTGGTCCACCACCTGGGTTTTCATCACGCGGTTCTTCAAGCGCTCCTAACGCACACCATTTGCCTTATAAGGACGCCGTATTTATGGTAGATGACCTGGCGCATCGGGAAAATACCCTGTCGAGCCATGCTCCTTCCGCACAGGTTCATGCATCGCCATCTAGTTCATACACACTCGACAGTGGAAGCAACACTGAAGGCTCCCACGCATTGAACCTCGCACGCTGCAATGCGCAAGAGCCTCTCGTAGTGAACAGGGTAGAAGAAGCTTCTGAAGAACTTTCTACCAGTTCTGAAGCATTATCTTCATTGCCCGAAGTGCATGACAACAGCCCACAAACTACCAGCTGCCGACTGGGCCCCACATCAAGTTGTGAAGAAAACGAGCGCGATGTTCAAGAAGGGATCTCACCGCAATGCGTTCCACAGCAACATCAGCAACGCCAGCAAAAGCAAGTCCAAGAGTCGCAGACACTTCAACGGATACACCGACAAAGATGACGACACAAAGTCAGCCTCTTAAAACAAATTCAAGACGTCAGGCATCTTTGCATAAGGGATTGGCACCAGTAACGCATTTGGCACAAAATATCAAGACTGCGCCTAAGATTACAGCTCCGAAACCTCAGGAAACACCGAACAAGACAAGAAGTCACCATTTCTACCACGCAAAGATTCAGACACCATCCCATTAGTTCACGACAATGGACCCAACGCCACAGAAAACTACAAAAGAGACTGAACGCTATAATTTGTACAATGCACGAACATAGACATAATTCCTTGAACTTCAGTTCTTGTACACGCAGGCTGCAAACACTAATTCTGTCTCAGCCGCGACACAGAATACGTGTACGACAGAGGATTCTGCGCCTACGACATTCAACCTTAAAATGCTCCAAGGACTTCCAACCTTGTTCGTTCCTCGCAGGTGCTCAAGTCACGTCATGGTCAGTGCAGTTTTGCAAGACGCGGTTACCTTCTCCAGAACGCCACAGCCAACCTCGTCCACCAGAACTCCCCCATTTACCGGGCTGCTGCACTCTTTTCTGAAGTTTTGCGAGTTTACGGAACACCACGGGGCCATGAAACCAATTGTGCATTTTGACATTTGTGACTTCTCAACCTCTCCTTGTTTACTTTTTGTTGTGCGTAATCCATGCCTTCTTTCGGGGGTAGGGGGAATCGTGTGACGTATCAAGTGATGGTTAGTAGAGGTCGAGAAGGAGGAAGTGCAGAACAGAATAAACATGGCGTATGAGCCAGGCCACGTCTCCCATTCGTCACAGCATCACATATATATATATGTATATATTCAAATGAAAGGCCTGGGTAAATGCCATTCTTCTGGTTCAAATTAAGTGGAAACATCGGATAGTAGCAGAATTTTACTTTCAGCAGAATGCAAGTGATAACCTGTAAAATATGCGACGTTTTTAAGCTTTACTATATTTAGAAAGTATAATCTAGTAACAAGTTTTTGAACTTTAAAAAGTGACGAATGGAGTTGAGACAGATATGTTCATTTAACGTTAAAGTAAGGCTTCACGGCAGTGCAGAGTTCCTTTGACTAGGTGTTTCACGGTTGAGCACTCTTTCATTGCAGCCAAAGCACCTTTACAACAAGCTAACATATGCAATAAAAAGCTGCTTTCACGGCTTAGCATCTTCTTACTGCAGTGAAACCACCATCACAAAGAATTACATGCGGATTATATATATAATACACCAATTGGTTCATTCGGAATACTTCGAAATTTTTAAGATATAAATTTTATTCGAAGTGAATTCGAACACCGCGACATTCATTCGATAATTCAAAGCATTCGAATATTCTCACGAGCCTAGAAACTACGTAGAATTCAGTAGACGCTGTCAAAATCTACATCATGACATTAGGTGCCGGAATTTCGAAATGGCATCACTAGCCAGTTTTTTTTAGCATTTTCTTGCTTACCAAGCACCTTCTTGAGGCAAACATGGCGATTTAGAAATTGTGAAAGGGAATTTTCCCAATACAAGAAAAAATTGCATTTCATCATAGCGTGCCCTAAATAAGTCTGTACATTAATTGTCTTGGGAAGAGTTAACAGGCATCGTCTGCATGGATTATAAATTATTTACCATTCTCATGAGTCCGCGATTTTGTTAAGGGAAAGTACACACAGAAAAGGTACCGAAATGCTACCTTTGGGGACACCATATTTAACTGGTTTTTCATCTGGGCCTCAATCTGCAGACATTACAGATTGTGTTTGATGCAAATACAATGAGACTTAATAAGAAAGTGCTATGACTCTAATACCATAAACTTTCCTATTCGTTGACCAAACGAGGTCGACAAACTAACAAACACTGGTAGTAGCTACACAATCGATAAACCAAGTTGAACAGACAAACTGGGCTGGTAGTTTACATTTAATGAGTCACTTTGCATCTTCCTTCCTAGGCGATGCTCCTCATATCCCCATTACTGTGTGCCACTGGCAATGCAAGAAGAGATATTTCCCTCGCTTGCGGCATCTGGATGTGTTGCTGTTTGGGATTTTTATTAGTTTTCCTTTTAAGTTGCACTTCACCTATATATCAGCTGTTCTTTCCCAAACAAATTTTAGTTTCGAATGGATGCCTGTCTTTATGTGTTTTTTCTTTGTAGTCATCTCGTGTGGACTGTTTAACAAAGATCAACACTGCATCTACCCCAGTTGTGTAGCGGCAAACCAACAGCACCAGTTCATGACACATCACGCGGTTATTTGACTCCAAGATGAACATTGCACACCGAGTCGACGACCTTGTAACAGAGATTCTGTAACATTCCCAACATCGAGTCTATGATGAAGCGATGAATGCACCCAGGCCTTTTTCTCTTCTTGTTGGCGAACAGCATACAGTATTATCTTGGTTCTCTTGACCGTGTGTAACGCAAATTTTTTGTGAATTTATGAAATTTGTGATTGCAGCAGAAAATGTCTGCTTCATTCTTCTTAAATATGTGCAATTCGCCACAATAAGCTGCATTACAGTACACCGTGACAAATACTTTTCCCATATCTCATAGGTGGGTCATTTATGAAGAGCATTTGTCATCAGGATTCGAAAAAAATACTGATACCGGTCTTCAGTATGACTACAATCGGTACACCTGTTCTGAAATATCAAGCCTTTGTTCCATATTAGGTTTGTTTCAACACTAATGACTGTATGGGTACAAGGGCAGATGTAAGCATGCTTGGCTACTAGGGAAAAGTCTGCAGGTCGCAGGCAGCCCATGGGCCGCATGTCGCAGACTTCTGCACTAAGCCATGTAAAATCGGCACTGGCCATCCATGTGTCTTGTTCGGCATATCCATACGCTGGCTTATATGACCAGAATACACATAAGGCACTACTAAAAAGTGTTCGCAGCAAATATGGTTGCAACCCTAATTCTGCTTCACTGAGGAAAATGATGGTCATGAGGCGAAACCACGAAGCCTAATTATTTAATAGACGTCCACTTATGTACATTCCTACAAGGAGAAGGGCTTTGCACGAACACGGGAGCAGTCCATGTGTCGATGACTGTTTATCGGTACAAGTAGTCCGCTTGAATGTTGGCAGCAAGCTCTGGCTCCCACTTGTCACCGTTGTTAAGAAGTTTTTCCTTGTTGTACAGGAGCTCCTCGTGCGTTTCCGTTGTGTACTCAAAGTTGGGGCCCTGTAGGAGAGCAACAGCACCATTTGTTACAGTCGAACTAGCGTATGTTTAAAGTGTGGTGGGCAGCGAAATACTAGTTTGATATGAGAGATGTAGGAGCCAGATAGTACAGTCTACTGCACATATATTTTATTCTCAACATTAGTATGCTTCATCACAAAACAAGGTGGTGCTGGCCTATGAAGGCATCTCTACTTATCATGCTATTTACTATACATAGGGTGACTGCCCATTCAGAAACCTGTGGAATTGTCTCACATTGGGGGCTATGGTGTCATGTCTCTCAAGTGGTGTGAAAATCTTCCAAAACTTCACACTTTACTAATATTGTTCAACAGCACCTTGACTTTATCTCCATCTTGCCACCCTGTTTGTACATGCTTCTGAAAATGTCAGCTAGCCATGCAATTCACGTCGATGACGAATGCATATGGTACCAGTCGCACATGCTGGCCTGCCATTCCCCAAGAAATGTTAGTAGCAGGTTCCCAGACTGGTTGAACACGTGCACACTGTTGCATTTTACTGCAACTGGCAGTGGTCAACTTGTAGTAAGACAATCAGTAGTTAGTGGAAACTAAGCCGCAGCTGTTTTGTGAGCAGAATTTTTTTAATTGCAGGACTTTAATGTTGATATTAAGAACTTAAATTTGTGTTGCAGCATTTTTCATAGATGTACATAGGATTATGTAAATTTTTTCGCACCTTCCGAAACACATCTCATGTACAGTTTTTTTGCACTTTGTGTGGTAAATAAATCAACTCAGACTTGCATGAGATACTCTGCTTCCTCGTTTCAAAGATGACAAAATATTATGAGACAAAAGTTCTTGCCCCATAACTCGCTAGTAGGAAGGTAGTCACCCCAAGCAAATATCTGATGCCCTTGCTGCATGAGTTATTTTTATTTGAACATACACAGATTAGTCTTTTTTTTTTTTTCTCCATAAACAGCCATTCCTTACCAATTCAGTGCCTTGTTTGAAATGGCAAAAAAGCACCACTATGTTGACATGAATGTCCAAGGACGCGAAAATTGATCAATATACCATCACGAATTCACATTGGCCGATGCGAGGGCATATTGCAGTTGGTGGTGATTGTTTCCCATAAGTGTATTTGTACTTTCAAGGTGAAGCTACAACTGTTTGGTATCGTCAATAGGATATATACTTAGGTTCAATGTGTCAGATTCGATTGTAAATTTTTGATCCACTTAGTGCCAACTTTTTTGACGCGCATCCCTGAAATATCACACCTGAAATATCAAGCCCACGAGTCAAATTACAATAAAGGCTCCTGCACCGCTAGTAAACTTAATGAACATAAAGTAGCACCGACACAGAAATTCAGAGTTATAGATGTTTCATGTTACTCCTTGAGTACCTATAGTATGTGTATAGTTCTTAGCAAGCAGGAACGTTGTGAAATGTATGAGATGTTTGATACCAAAGTTTGTCATGAAATGCCAAGGTTGACGTCATTGACATCGTCGTGACGACAAAATGAAAATGTAAATTTGAGAAGACTGTGCCGTAGCAAGCCTATGCCAGACGATGCTGCACTAAGAAAATAAAGATCAGGGTGCAGTGGAGTGATCCAACGCAGTGTGTTGTCTACACATATCCAGCTTCTTGGTATAAAAATAGAAACTGCATTACAGAAGCAACGATGTTCAAGTACTCTATTCAGAATACTATGACGACTGTTAGAAATTTTCCGGTGCTAGGAGCACTAAACACAAAAAGTGGACCGTTTTGTGCCAAGTTGTAAGCACTGACAGTACTGTGAAGGTTTAGCATCACACTTGTACCCCTCCAATGATCTCATTATATGTGGGTGGGCCATGTTTGTGGGACACAGCATACGCATTGACACCTGCTAGGTAAAAGAAAGAGCACGTTTGCAACTTCCAGATATCTAAAAATGCTGGCACGATAAGAAGTGTCAGCACTGAAAGAGGCCTTTATTCTTGGTGGTGCAAGAGATAAAGAGTGGTGGTGAGCTGTTTAAGTTAGTCAATGCCCATTCATATGAATGGCACAATCACTTTGCAGGTACACTGAGGTGCCTATTTGCCTTGCAAAGCTATAACACTGCCACGACTTTACAAGTGTGGAGATCACAATGGTGCAAAAACTTCAATTTTCCTTTATTGTGGTGAAATGTACTCCGCCGAGATGAGTGACCATCACACTTAACCATCACTTGTGCGCACTCTTGAGCAGGAACACATGAACGCTGTATGAGCACCTCCGATGCCATGTGCTTCAAGCATTTGTGTTACCGTAATTGCTTGAATCTAACGCGCACCTTTTTTCCGGTTAAGCGAGTTCATGAATCGCATGCGCGTTAGAATCGAGTACAAAAAAAAATGAATATGGTCATTCTATTGCCATCGGCACTTCCAAAATGGCCGCCCCCTACGTGCGTCGGCATGGCGCGTCGGCCATTTCTGCCTATGTGTTTTCTATGTGCGGCACTTCGTACGTCTGCTGAGGAGTTCGTCATCTTGTAGTACATTAGTATCGACGGCATGGTAGGGCCGACTCCAAAAACTCGACGAGTGTACCACAATGCTGCTTTTAAAAGAAAAGTCATCGCGTGTGCCGAAATGGACAAAAATCGGGCCGCATCGCGGTCGTTCGGAGTTCCCGAAACGTGCGTGCGGGACTGGCGGAAACAAAAGCAGGATATTGTCGACAACAAAGATTCACGCAAAAGCTTCAGTGGACCACAGCAGGGTCGGTTTCCACAAATTGAAGAGCTGCTCGGCGAGTATGTGATTAAGCAGTGAGCGGCACAGCGGCCCGTGACAACAGAACTGCTCCAAGTGCAGGCTATGCAGTTAGCCTTATGCAGTTATGCAGCTATGCAGCTAGCCTTAGAAAAAGGGCTAATGCAGAGCCGGTTTCAAGTGAGCAGGTGCTGGCTAACTAACTTTATGAAGAGGAAAGGCTTTTCCCTGCGAAGGCGAACGGGCATATGCCGGAAGTTGCCGGAGGGGTTCGAAGAAAAGCTTCAGAGTCTTCAGAGGTTCCTCCTAAACTTGAGGCACAACAACGGCTACCTGCTTGGGCAAATCGGGATTGCCGATCAGACGCCTCTTTACTTCGACATGCCTGGCACCACAACCGTCGAGGAGAAGGGGGCGAAGCAAGTTCGTGTGCTGACATCGGGCCACGGTAAAACTAGAGTGACAGCAATGCTCCGTTGCACGTCAGATAGACACAAGCTTCCCCCGTACCTCATATTTAAACGGAAGACTCTCTCAAAAGGAGTCGTTTTCCCGAGTGGTATGATCAAGCGGGCCAACGAGAAAAATGGGTGCGCGTTGCAATCGATGTCTTAGTTTTCTTTTTTTGTCGTTGAAATCAGGTGCGCGTTACAATTGAGGGCGCGGTAGAATCGAGTGAGTACGGTATTGCAAAAGAAAAAAATGTTACAAGCCAAGATATCATTTCAGTACACCATTAGCATTACCGCACAGAGGAGAGACACAATTGTGCCAATTACACACTCACGTAGAAGGAAAGGACTCAACTTGCCTGCTGATAGACAGCTGAATCATGTGGCCCAAAAAGTTTCCTTAATCTGCGCAAACTATAGCAAGCCACGTGCTTCAACCAATATCCTGTATTTGAATTTCAATAGTGTCCCGGTTTGCCAATTCTTCATTTCCTAGGCACTTTCTGACAACATCAATAGATTGTTGCTTGAGCATCTTCATTTCAGTAATGTTGGTCATAAATACAGTGGCAACTGGTAGCTTGTACAGTGATTTCTGAGGAACTGAAGTACTGCAAATATTTGTTGACTCAGGAAGATAAAAAACACATTCCTCATATTTGAAATGACCACATAATATTGCACAAACTGCATACCTTTTCAGTAACGAAGCACAGAGAGTAAGCATTTTTTCAATGAAACTTTGGTGTGAGTCTCCACTCCTTACTTGCGACAATAGAGTTTATGTTCTGTCACTGCACTCATTGCTACCCTTTACGTATCTTGTCAGAGAAGAACAAAGGTTGTTCTTGTACAGAGCCATAAAAAAAATGGCAGCATATCCACAGAGTTTATGATGAATAGTGGGGCGAAGCATCCGTCTATCCATTCGTTCTTGCTTCTGTCCATCCATGCGTGCGTCTGTGGGGCCGCCCGTGCATCCATCCGCCAGTCCGTGCGTGCGTCTGTTCGTGCGTCCGCACGTTCATCTGTGCGTCCGTCCCTGCTTTCGTCCAGGCATCCGCTCCTGCGTCCGTCCACGTGTCTATCTGTCCGTGCAGTCATCCGTGCATCTGTCCGTGCATCTGTCTGTGTGTCCATTCGTCCACTTATTCGACACTCCAAGTACCACCATCTCGCATCTTTTCATCATATATTCCTCATATAGAAGCACCGCCATCCAGCGGACACTCCAAGGACTGAACGAGAGGAGGCACACGCACACTTTCTTACGGCTTGCGCTTCGTGTCTACTTCCCACCTTTAACCACCTCGAGTTCACGGTATATACTAGTTCACTGTATTCATGGCACTGCGGCCCAACGCTCGCTAAACCTTTCTAATACGAAAGAGGTTATGCCCAGCGAGTATAACGTAGCAACCCTTTCATGTCAGATAGTGCTCAATGTGCATGCCCATGGCTGCTAAGGGGGAATGAGAGACAGGAGAATTCGGCTTTTAGTTGACGTGCATGCTGCGAATGTTTTATCGTTCAACAACGCACAGAAGAAATCTCTCACCGGCACCACCTTGGAAGTCAAAATGTTATACTTGTTACACACTACAACAGCTACGAGGGACGAACGGGTGCCGCTATAAGGAGCTTCGCCCCTAAAAATAATGTGTGCTTGCATCTTGAGTGCGTATGAAGGGAGAAGCCACCTTTATGGCCCTGTATAGGTTAGGTTTAAGCTTTTTTTTATTCAGTGATATTCTGTAAGCAAAAGAATACGGTTTCTATGGTGTGCCTTTTAGCCCTTATCATTGTAGTCCACACTTCTAGACAATGATCTCTACCTGCTTGATGGGTGAAGTGTTTGCGTGATACAGTAAAATCTCGTTATAGCAAACTTCACACTAATGATTTTTTTGAAATAACGATTTCAGAAATCTCCCTCCAAATGTCCACTAATTTAATGTAAATATATTTCACTAGAATGAATTTCAGGTTATTGAATGTTTCAGAATAATGTATAGAATTTTATCCTCCTTTTATCTCAGATTCTCCACAACAGTTCAGATTAACGAATTGTGATTTTAAAGTTATTCGTGGCTGTCAAAATAGTGCCCAGCTTCGTACCTGCCACTATCATAATCATCATCATCAGAATGCCCATTTATTTCTCTATCTGCCCGCTCTATTAAAATGAGCAACAGCCCTATTGCCATCATCATCGCCTGGTACTTGTTTTTCGCGTCGGGCTTCACCCCATTGCCTTTGTTTTCGTCGGGTAGCTTTACCTGCGCGCTTGTTACACGGCTGTTTTCTAGCCTTTTGGTTGGTGGCTGAACGTTCATGATGAGCTCCGGAAGCAGCATGCAAGAATTTCTACTATATTTAAAAATGTGGCGCGAGTGACCTGTGGCAGTGGTTCTCAAGTGAGGGTCCGCGGAGTCTAGGGGTCCGCAAAGCCATTTTTATGATCCGCAAAACCCTCAACTGCATTTTGTTTGAAGCGTGGACTGTGCCATGGTATTGATGAATCGTCCAAAATGAAGTGATGTAGCACGTTTGTTTGATGTTTTTCGTAGGAAAAAAAGGTAGGCTTGCGCGAATATTCGAATGCTTTGAATATTCAAACGAATAGTAGAGTATTTGAATTTGCTTCGATTCAAATTTAAATTATTGAAAATTTTGAAGTATTCGCAATGGACGAATAGGTGTATATTATTCCACATCTAACGACTTGTAAAAGTAGCTTTGGTGCAGTGTCGGAGTGCTAAGCCGTGAAAGCACCCATCCAAAAAAATCCGCTTCGCCGCAAAGCCCCCCCTCCCCCCCCGCAAATTTGAAGGGGCCCTGCAACACTTTTTGAGCATAGTCAGAAAATGCTCCCGATTGGTAATAGAGGTTTCGAGAACACGCGAGTCAAATATTAGGGTGCAGCAGGCGTCCTGCGATTCACAGTAAATTCTCAAAATCAGCTGAAAATTGCTCTCTACTCTCGGCAAATGACACCACAAGCTCAAAAGTCACTCGTCTCAGCTATTGCATCAGCAATTAGCGATAATATTGCGATACTATTAGCGATACTATTAGCGATACACTGCAACTCGTAGCGACCGAGCGACGCTCGGTCGCTACTGGAGCCGCAGTGGGAAGCCGCGACGTGTCCACGCGTGCATCACACTGAAAAGCTGCGTGTTTTAAGAAAAAATAAAATAGGGGTGTTCAAGGTCACGAGGTGCATGTGACGTATTTGCTTTCGCCGTGCCATTTCTCCCTGCTTAGCTTCCAACTATTTCGCCGGGACAAAAAGAGAGAATTAAATTGCAGCGTGTGACTCATTTTCGGAACTCCGCCGCACGTACTGGACTTATTCTAGAAATTTCGCGGAGGTGAATTTGAGAGGCAACAAACTTCTTTACTGCCTCCATGGCTACTTGAAAAAGTGGTGCAGGGCCCTTTCAAATGAACATTTTACCATGAAATCAATTCATCATTTTATTAAACTTAGATGCTTGTTATGATAGTTTATATGCTCTTAGTATAATAAAATTTAAAATGTTACCTATTTCGCAGGTTATCACTCGCATCCTACTGGAACTCGTATACCGCTACTACTCAAAGCTTTTTCAACTTTCTGTGAATGTGAACGAAAAAAAAAGGCACTTGCATAGAGGCCTTACTTCAATATAAAAATATATTGAACTGGTTATTTAGGTCATGATAAATATGCCCATTTTTCTTTGTATGTCATATATACTACTCAAATTCGATTAAAAAAGAATCGACCAAAATCACTCTTCGCTTCGAACCTAAAATTCACTATTCGCACAAGCCTAACAAAAGGCACCTGTTTCACGCTCCAGTTGTGTTAATTTACATGCATGCCCCCCCCCCCCCCCCCCTCCGTCCCCTCCGCTGCAAGGGGTCCCCGACACATTCATGGCTGAGAACCATTGACCTATGGAATTAAGTCACCCATGATTACCCATGCATGCTTCCCTAACGTTCGAACACAGTGTGACGACGAAGCATGCACGCTAACTTATCTGCCCTTCAATAAGATCCAAACCATTTGTCATGATAAGGAAATGACGACAAGAGCGAACAGGGCGTTAAAACAGTGCGCATGAACCAAGGTGAAGCACCTGTATTTGACGCCAATGCTTCACAGTGCATAAGAAGGATACACACGCTTAAAAGTTCGTCTTTCAGCAGCCGAGCTGCGCAGATCATGATAGATTGCGCTCTTCATCAAATATATACGTGCACTGGTTCCACAATAATTAGTGTGTATTTTTCGTGCTCATCAGGGCATAATGCCATTGAAGATGTATACACAGCACAGGTATGTGACTTATGTGTTTGCATTGATGATTTTTGTGCAATTTTTTTTAATACTTTCCTAACACTTTTCAATATAACAAATAAATTTCGAAATTGACTGTATTTAGAAAACAATAGGGAAGAGATGCTCTCTTAGCTTCACATCTCTGAACATATTCAGACATACTGGCACTGTGTCAAAAGGTTGTTCATATATTCCAAAGTGGTCTGCAACACACCTACTGAATAAAGCCTGGCAAAATCCTACAAAAGTCTGATTAGTGCTAGTTATGATGAAAAAAGGCTGAAGCAACAAATTTACCTTCAGAGTAAATAGTATGTAACCTATGCTACAAACCATCATCTGTTATTTCCTCACAACAGCAGACCTAACAAGCAGCTTTGACTGCTCCTCATGCACGACTTCAGCATGCTCAACCAAGGTTTTTTTTTTTTGCATGTGAAACCTTGAAAGTAAAAGCATAAAAATTGGCCATTATGGCATGCTCACTTCAACAATGGCGTCAACAGGACATGCCTCCTGGCAGAAACCGCAGTAGATGCACTTAGTCATGTCGATGTCGTAACGGGTCGTACGTCGGCTTCCATCCGCTCGCTCTTCAGCCTCAATGGTGATGGCCTTTGAGAATACAGAAAGAACAGCACATGTGGTTTCTAAACAGCCATTTCTTTTGTTGAGTGATAGAACTCTTAAGACACTACATAGTGTTTTCTGTTGAATGTTATTAATATTAGACCCAAACAATGTTATTAATATTAGACCCAAACACAACAAAATATCTTCATGATCTAAAAGGATAATTAAAGAAAAAAGAAGACACTAAACATCGAGAAAAAAAAAGATTAGGGCAGGCTAATAAATAACAAAACAATTGCCTCCTAATGTGAGGTGTGAAATGCACCTCATTTCTAGATTTCTTCAGTAACTTTGCGTATAACAACGAAAATCTGAGCTAGTTGGTAGGTATCAACGTTATAGAACAACAGAGAAAAGTACACAACGACAAAAAAAGAAGGTAAACACAAAGACATGCCCAAGCAGAAAGCGATAGTTATCAATCTGGCATACTCAGTGGTCTAGCGGGATAACTATTTAGGCACTCAATGATGTGATCGATCAAACTCTTTTTGGCACAGCTTTTGGAGCCACCACTAAAATCTCACTTCGGAATAGCATCACAACCATTTGGAGCAGTTTTTTTGTCACACATATTCGACCTCAGACCACCAACCGAGGATGTTGCACCACATGTCAAAAGAAATCCATTTATGTACAAACGCATATATTCATTTGGAGTACTCCCAGACACGAAATAAGGTCACTGCTTTCAGCTTTTCTACAGACATTCCAAAGTCGGCTAAAGCCACTTAACACTTCCCAGAAATTCGCTTTGATATAATGCAAATGATGCTTTAGTTACAATATGGATGCTTACAATATTCAAGTTGCTTTAGTTGCAATACTGGAAGCGCAATCTGTCACAATTTTACATGGATTTCATTTCATTAACAAAAAGTATTATTACGTTTGTGCTTTTTCTAAAAGCTAGTACATTGTGCCAAGTGTCTGCTGTCGTACTTTGTGTACAGAATGATGCGAGTCCTGGCTAATAGATGGTTAATAGGGGCAGGGTGTAGTAACTGGTCCTCCTCTCCCATAATTTCATCAGTGCGTGAAAAATTTATTAATAATGGACAAGCTGTTTGACATGTACAGTTGCTGAGGTTGAGAAGCCCATCTGAGATATGCCAAAATACTGGTCACCATGCCTTCTCAGTGAAGTTGCAGTCCATGTATAGCATGTGGTATAGCTTGTTCCTCAGAAGCTTCGACAGCAAGCAATGAAGATTTTTTCGAACCGTTTTCCAACATGAAACCTAAATTCAGGAATATTTCTTGTTGTTACATGGAAGGATGCTGAACACTGCTTTTGAAGGTGTCAGGTTCAATCTCCGCGACAAAATGAGTGACACTCTGCCGGTGATGGCCTTAGCACTTTCCATGTAGCTGGCCGCCCTCTCTGGCGGCGTTTATGTCATGACGCCAAAAGACGCAATGCCAGAAAACGACGGCGAAAACGCTGCATATAGTTTGGCCTTGAGAGCATTGTCATCCATTGGTAGAGCAAGAGCGCTTTTGCTGCACCAAGAGCAGCCAGGAGCAGCTTGAGGTGCCCTTGCCTGAAAAGCCGAGTATGCGCAGTTAATGTGAGTCACGTGACCTTTGAATGTCAGTCTCCGAATTTTTCTTTGGCCGGCGAGTGCAACAGCATCGGTAGCAACCATGAGTAGTTTGACACCAGTGTATTGTACTTGTGGCGACGACAGCTGTACGTCTGCTGAATGATCATTGCACAAACATACTACGTATCAGATAATGAAGAACATGTAGCTGATGGATTCCACGCGTATTTTGCTGCTGTTCCACAGAAAATGCTGGGGCTTGGTATGTTACAATCACATGGTTTTCCCACTCGTTGCCCACTCACCTGCTCTGTGGGAACACGCCGCAATCCAGTGGCAGATCGAGTGACTGTGCTTTCAGTGCTCTGCCTACCACTTCTCACTGCACTACCCCTCTACACTGTTTTCTAAATCAAGTTCACCATAAGTAACTTCAATCATTGACCCAACAGGCTACTCATTGCATCTGAGTATGGCCTAAAGCAGAGTTGGCGCATTCTACAAGAGGATTAGCAATCATGGCCGGTGCCAAGTAGGCAAAATGCTGCATGCAGCCAGCTAGAAGATGATTGGCTACCTGCGACGATACTGCGTTCAATAAAAGAGCTGCATCAGTTTTTGCTTAGCAGCAAATTGCGGTACACATGTACCGAGGACAGCCGATTATGTCCATTCTGTCACTTTGCAAGTCGCTATGAATCCCGGATGCTGCAGTAGTTTTGAAATGCTCGTTGGTGTAGCCACTGTGTGCTATCAGGTTGTTGTGCGAGAGTGCCGAAATCTTTTCTACTCTTTAGCAAAAAAAATTAATATAAATGACTTTGTGGTGGGTACTTTAGACAATATGTGCAGTGACATTATATTTTTCCTTTTGTTGGCAGTGATAGTGCACATCAGGAGATGCATATCTGTACTGAGTGGCTAATGCGTATATTTATAGCATAGTTCTGCAACAGCATTCCCGAGAGGTACGTATTAACTATGTTTTACTGTAACACAGTTATCAGTTTATGTGTGAATAAATGTGAGCAATCACTTCGCCATCAAATTGTTCTCACAATAGCAACTAAGTATGCTTACCCCGCCTGCAGGGCAGATGGCAATGACACTGTGAAGGAGCGCAAGCGATATTCAAGAGCTGGTGAAACAAAATCAATCAAGTTCCTATATTGTTTGCCTTACATGTTCACAGCATTCTTGAATACAGGTTACAAACATTTTCAGACTACATTGATAGAGTGTACATGGTAAAGATCAGTAGTGCTAAGCACAGAACTAAAAAAAATACAAGTGTTGGAGGACTAAAATAAGTGAACGGCGAGAGTGCTGACTACGAAATGGGTGAACTGCTGGCCTGTTATCCTGCTCATGTGAATTACGTCGTAAACAAGCTGCAGCTTCATAATCTTGTTAATATGCATCACACATGCTTGTGATGGTGTGTTTGACACGCAGGTTATCTTATGCAATGCCTCCTCTATTTTGCCAATGCCAGCTAGATTCGCCTAGTTCAACCATTCACCTCTCTTCTCTAGCTTTTTTTTTATTTTGCTCTCGCCCATCGCCTACCATTGGTGCGTGCTTTGCAGTCATGAGGAAGAGAACCCATCACATAATGCCTCACAACGGTAATTACATGAAGTAATTTTTGTTGTGTACAGATACGGGCGCAAGGTCTCTGTCCCGATGTGGGAGCGGCCCACTGCACGCTAAACACACGCACTGAAGTACCGTAGTAAAATTATTCATCCATCCATCTATCCCCAATATTGAAGGTCACGCTGGCTCTCTAAAAGATACAGTGTTTTGAGATAGCTAGTCGCTGTTCTTGGTGCTATGTCGCCAAACAGTAGAGAAGCGTCTCTGCAAGGCTACTACTGCATGCGCTGTGCTGCAGTGCAGTGGGGGCATTGCTCCGAGCCACAAAGAAGGAACATGAAGGAACAAATCTGATAGATGTATGATATAGGCGTGCTGAAACATGTCTATCACATTTCCCGGGGAAAGCACTCAGAAGCAAGTGCAACGCAAGCAGCGCTTTCTATTATGCAGCGTAACATCACGATCACTCCATGAACTAAGGCGGACCGACTGATCCTGTCAAAAAGTGCACGCTTGCACTGGCATTGTAAGAAATAAAGGAGATGACTCATGCGTACATACATATCTCTTTTATGACCAATACACCCAGTTAGTTTTCAGTGCTGACGTTCTTCATCCTTTTGTTTGCTTCCAAGTCTTCTCTTAGCTGTATTTTCACACACGTGAACTCCTAGCTGCTTTTCACCACGAATCTGAACCAAGTCATTAATATCACTATTCTTTCACATTCCTTTCACATAGATGGGACAAAAGCAATGTAAAAAAGCAAAATCAACATCGTCAACTCTCAAACGAGCAGCTGACGTCCTTTACCTGTGCCGGGCAGATGGCCTCACACAGCTTGCAGGCGATGCAACGCTCTTCTCCTGATGGGTAGCGGCGCAGGGCGTGCTCCCCTCTAAATCGAGGACTCAGGGGGCCTTTTTCAAACGGGTAGTTGATGGTGGCTGGCTCTTTGAAAAGTGTGCCTATTGTGATGGCCAGACCTGCAGTGCGGACAATATTCAATCAGACTATGCTGCAACACTTAATCATTTCAAGCGCTGCCTATAAAGATCACTCTGTAAATACATCAAATCGATACAATATGGTATAACACGGCATTACTTCAAGGCACTCAATATATTGCGACAAAATATTGTTTTAATTGTGTCCATTTCTATGTCTCACAGTAAATATATTTAACTTAATTGTAACTAAATATCTATTTATTTTCAAGTCATTCATGCTAAGTTTTTGCATAAATAGAACCAAATCTTAGGCCAGAAACATAGTGCAAGTTTTTTTTTTTTTGCAGTTATATCATACTACTCTTTCGTAATAGGATTTATAACATTTGTACTACCAGTTGCACTGTCCATATGAATCACTTCTTTAATTAAAGCACTATCACTGTATTTTTGCAAATTTTTTTTCTACCATCTGATAGCAATGACCACGCTATTATTGATGCTCTTGCATATTCTTATACCCTGAAAAGGATCCTTAAGGGACAGTAAACGATGATAATAATGTCCATGTTACGCAAAGAAAGTTTATACTTTTGCCATGATTCACGGCCACGTCAAACAACTTATCAGGCACAGTAGTGCCTTCAGCAAAGTGAAAACATGCAATTGTACATTGCTAAATCAGATCAAAGAAAATTTTATTATGCAGTAGGTTCAACTCATCAAAATCTCAAAGTATTTCACTGCATCTAGGTGCTACGTAATAACACTAGGAAATGTTGTGTACTGTGTACACAGCATCTCAAAGGGCTGAATTTGGCTAAATTCATTACAAGCGAGTGGCATATAAGTATTCTTCACAAGGCTCCATGGCTGGTAATGGTACAGTTTCCTTGTAAGCAGCCTTCAAATGGCACCTATGCAGACACTGAACGCGCCTAGTGGTTGTCGCATGACGTAGGTACATTTTCACGGCCTCCAAAATGTTTCTGTGCCCTCTCATTTTCGAGGCTTTGTCAAGGTGCCACAAGTTCAGGTAATGTTCTTCTCAGAGGTTACTTCAAATGAGCAGAGATGGCGGCACTTTTTTTTTACATTTTGATATAAAAAAAGGCTATTTTCGAAAGCTTTTTCTTGTGGCTCAATTAGCTTAATAAATGTAAAATAATACATGGATGCTTGCTTCTATCTACACTGTATC